ATATTGCCCAAAACACTTCAGAATTCATCCTGCTGCTTTTGTCAGCAGTCACATCATCAATAAATACAAGAGAACCAGTTCCATTGGCAGCCATACATGCCCACGCCATGACACTACCACCACCATGCTTCACTGATGAGGTGGTATGCTTAGGATCATGAGCAATTCCTTTCCTTCTCCATACTCTTCTCTTCCCATCACTCTGGTACAAGTTGATCTTGGTCTCATCTGTCCATAGGATCTTGTTCCAGAACTGTGAAGGCTTTGTTAGATGTTGTTTGGCAAACTCTAATCTGGCCTTCCTGTTTTTGAAGCTCACCAATGGTTTACATCTTGTGGTGAACCCTCTGTATTCACTTTGGTGAAGTCTTCTCTTGATTGTTGACTTTGACACACATACACCTACCTCCTGGAGAGTGTTCTTGATCTGGCCAACTGTTGTGAAGGGTGTTTTCTTCACGAGGGAAAGAATTCTTCGGTCATCCACCACACTTGTTTTCTATGGTCTCCCAGGTCTTTTGGTGTTGCTGAGCTCACTGGTGCATTCCTTCTTTTTGAGAATGTTTCAAACAGTTGTTTTGGCCACGCCTAATGTTCTTGCTATCTCTCTGATGGGTTTGTTTTGTTTCTTCAGCCTAATGATGGCTTGCTTCACTGATAGTGACAGCTCTTTGGATCTCATCTTGAGAGTTGACAGCAACAGATTCCAAATGCAAATAGCACACTTGAAATGAACTCTGGGCCTTTTATCTGCACATTGTAATTGGGGTAATGAGGGAATATCACACACCTGGCCATGGAACAGCTGAGAAGCCAATTGTCCCATTACTTTTGGTCCCTTAACAAGTGGGAGGCCCATATACAAACTGCTGTAAGTCCTACACCGTTCACCTGAGTTGGATGTACATACCCTCAAATTAAAGCTGACAGTCTGCAGTTAAAGCACATTGTGTTTGTTTCATTCCAACTCCATTGTGGTGGTGTATAGAGCCAAAGATGTTAGAATTGTGTCGATGTCCCAATATTTCTGGACCTGACTGTACGTGGAAGCTTTTACAAAAGAAGTTTCTAAATTTGTGTTGTAGAAAAAGGATTCTTTTCATGGCATCTACCTCAGCTTTGTAATTAAGTCTTCAGAGCTTAGAACCCCGCTAAAATATTTAGTTACCTGCCCCTTTATTTATTTGTTTTCTTATTTATAGCATGGTTAGGTCACAATTCATCAACAAGAATTGATAATGTTTAACTAATCCAAAGATTAAAAGAATAATCCATGATATATTACGGTATGGATGCTTGCAAAGAATAAATGATGAAATAATGGTTTATGCTGGACTAGTTAAAGACATTATAATTGATGAATTATATAATTATAATGAATCGAATCCAAGGCAAACCATTCAAATCAGATTGACTAGGTGCTCTGCAGCCAAAGATGGAGAAGCTCTATACAGTCAGTAAAAACAAGACCAGGAGCTGACTGTGGCTCTCGTTGCAAAATTTAGGCTTAAGTTGAAGAAAGTAGGAGAAAGCACTAGGCCACTCAGGTATGAATTAAATCATATCCCTGATGAATATACAGTAGAGATGACAAATAGATTTAAGGAATTAGATCTGATAGACAGAGTGCCTGAAGAACTATGGTCAGAGTTCTGGCAACTATGGCAACATTGTACAAGAGGTAGCAACTAAACCATCCCAAAGAAAAAGAAAGGCAAGAAAGCAAAATGGCTGTCTGAGGAAGCTTTGCAAATAGCTGAGGAAAGAAGGGAAGCAAAAGGCAAGGGAGAAAGAGAAAGATACACCCAGTTGAATGCAGAATTCCAGAGAATAGCAAGAAGAGATAAGAATATCTTCTTAAATGAACAGTGCAAAGAAATAGAAGAAAACAATAGAATAGGGAGGGCCAGAGATCTCTTCAAGAAAACTGGAGATATGAAGGGAACGTTTCATGCAAAGATGGGCATGATAAAGGACCAAAATGGCAGGGACCTAACAGAGGCAGCAGAGATTAAGAAGAGGTGGCAAAATTACACAGAAGAACTATACAAGAAGGAGCTTAATGTCCCTGATAACCACGATGGGATGGTCACTTGAGCCAGACATCCTAGAATGTGAAGTCAAATGGGCCTTAGGAAATTTGAGCAAGTTCTTAAAGAGATGGGAGTACCAGACAGTGATGAAATCTGAACCAGTTTACTACTAGTTCGCTGGCTGCACATGCGTAGTGCCCACCATGCACCAAATTCGGGCGAATAGATTGTAAAATAATGCTTTTAAAAGGTAAAAAAAAGGCTCTGACGATAGCGCAGCACAGCTGTGATTATCAGAGCCTTTTTAAAAAACTTTTTTAAAGTATTTTTACTACCGGTTCCAGAGAACCGGTAGTAAAAAAATGCCTAAAAAGTAAAAAAAAAAAAAGTTCTGACAATCAGCTGAGTGATGCGCAATCTTCAGACTTTTTTTTTTTTTTTACTTTTTAAAGCATTTTTAACTACCGGTTCCGGAGAACCGGTAGTAAAAAATGCTAAAAATGATTTTTAAAAAGTTCAGACAATTGCGTGTCGCTCAGCTGATCGTTGGAACTTTTTTTTTACATTTTTTACTACCGGTTTGGCTAACCAGTAACCTCTTTTACTACTGGTTCAGGTGAACCGGACCAAACCAGGAGCATTTCCCCCCGGTACCAGACCATCTTGTCTCTTGAGAAACCTATATGCGGGTCAAGAAGCAACAGAGAGAACTGGACACAGAACCACTGACTGGTTCAAAATTGGGAAAGGAGTCCAGCACTGTTGCCCTGCCTATTTCATTTATATGCAGAGCACATCATGAGAAAGGCGGGGCTAGATGAATCAAAAGTTGGATTTAAGATTGCCAAGAAAAATATCAAAAACCTCAGACATGTAGATGATACCACTTTAATGGCAAAAAGTGAAGAGGAACTAAAGACTCCCTTAACACAGGTGAAGAAGGAGAGTGCAAAAGTTGGCTTAAAACTCAACATTAAGAAAACTAAGATCATGGCATCCGGCCCTCTCAATTCGTGGCAAATAGATGGGGAAGAAATGGAGGTAACGACAGATTTTATTTTCCTGGGCTCCAAGGTCACCGCAGATGGGGACTGCAGCCAAGAAATTAAAAGATGCTTGTTCCTGGGGAGGAAAGCTATGGCAAATCTAGACAGCATTCTAAAAAGCAGAGAACAAAAGTGTGTATAGTCAAGGCTATAGTTTTCCCAGTTGCAATGTATGGCTGTGAAAGTTGAACCATAAGAAAGGCTGAGCACCAAAGGATTGAGGCCTTTGAACTATGGAGCTGGAGAAGACTCCTTGGATCCCTTGGACTGCAAGGCGATCAAACCGGTCAGTCCTAGAGGAGATCACCCCTGACTGCTCTTTAGAAGGCCAGATCCTGAAGATGAAACTCAGAAACTTTGGCCACCTAATGAATAGGAAGGTCTCACTGGAGAAGAGCCTAATGCTGGGAAAGATTGAGGGCAAATGTAGAAGGGGATGACAGAGAACGAGGTGGCTGGATGGAGTCACTGAAGCAGTAGGCGTGAACTTAAATGGACTCCAGAGGATGGTAGAGGACAGGAGGGCCTGGAGGAACATTGTCCATGGGGTCAAGATGGGTTGGACACGACTTCGCAACTAACAACAACAACAACAAAAATTAAATGTGTGGTAAGAGTTTTTAGAACAGTCTTTTTTATCCACTCAACAGGAAAATAAAGGCCGAAATCCTCATCTGGCTCTATAGTTCTTGTATTGACAGAAACCTTGTAACAAATCCAAACGACAGATTTATGTTATGAAGTGTAGAAATGACAGCAAGATGATTTCCACAGGATTCATACAATGAAGTCTGAAGGAGACATACAATCAATTTAACAGAATAACAGAGCTGGAAGGGACCTTGAAAGTCTTCTAGTCCAACCCCCTGCTTAAGCAGGAGATCCCACACAAGTTCAGACAAATGGCTATCCAATCTCTTCTTAAAAACCTCAGTGTTGGAGCACTCACAGAGGCAAGCCATTCCACTGGTTAATTGTTCTACCTGTGATTTTACATTAAATGTCAGCATTTCCTTTGCTTTTCTGTCTGTTTGGCCACTTACATTTAATGTGTAAATTTGATGACTCATAAATGCAAACAAATTGGCAAGAAGTCCTTGAAGCATTCTGTTTTTGCTTGAAACATGCTTCACAGCATTCATTTTATGTTCCTTAAGTGAAACAACAACCTATGTGCCTTTAGGGAAAAGTTAATTAAATATTATGCAGCAATCTGAATTTGAAGAACAGAATGTAAATGTTCCTTGAAAAAGCTTCTCCTGGGCTGTGCCACAGGATCCCAGAAAAAGAAGGCACTGATAGGTGAGGCATGTATGCCTACGCACATTCCAACTCTCTTTTTTTTTCCTTTTCATAGTGAAATCACTTCATAACTATAAGTGCTGTTAAATGGATAAGAACTTGTATAAATTCATTATTAATGGCTAAAAGGCAATACGATAAAATCTAGATTATCTACCTCTAGATTATCTATCCCTTTCCCCAGGCTGAATGAAGTTTGCTTCATGCGACACCTTTCATTTGGGAGGCAGACGGTGCGGGAGAAGGTGTTGCAGAGGCTGCTTAAGGAGGAACACCAGAGCTGCAAATCGCCTAATCTGGCAGAGGGTGCGGAAGAGCAGTTCAGTATTCCGTTAAACCAAGAACGCATTAAGCCGGGTGGCTCCTGTCCCGTTGCAGCCCAGCCGGATGAGTGGGAGCCCGGTGGGCTTCCGAGCTCAGCGCTCGCCTTTCGCTACCACCATCTGTTTCTTGCGATTGGTTTGCAAGCGCCCTCCCCTTTCTCGCACCCACCAGAATGTCGCGCTCCCAGAGGCTGGCCAGAAAGGTCAATTCCGGGGCTCTCCCACATTCCCCTCCCGTAGGGCTGCCGTCTGGAGATTGCCATGGTGATCTGTACGCTACGTAACCCCGAGATCACCTTGGAAAGCAGGGAGGACGCGCCGCTTGTTTTGCACCGGGCATAATTTTACCTCGTCCGCCGTTGGCCCTCGAGTCAAGCAGAATTTCCGGCGCAGCGAAATCATCCAAAGCGCTCAGTTTGCCGGGAAAGCCTGACAAGGACGCCACGCCTCTCCCGCCCTGTTAGCCAATTGCTGCGCGCAGAGAACAATTTCCATTTCCCCTCTCCGCTTTGTCGCGCTGCGCCTGTAGCGGAGCGGCGGGAGGGAGCGAGGGAAGCCCGAAGCGGCCTGTGGAGTTTGGACTGACCTGGCTGTCTACTGAGCTTAAGCAGCCCAGTTTGGGCGCCCGAAGAGTTTATAGTGCTGATTTGAGGACCGAGTCTGGGTTCATCTCGAGTGATGAGGCATTGATCGATCACCTGGTCTCTAGCCCCGGACAACTTCTGCTAATGCGGAGCAGACCCGGTTGAATAAGGCGAGGAAGCTTTGGGGACTTGAAAATGCGGCCGAACCCATCTGGACTTTCCCGGGTGTCTGGGGCTTGATCTCAGTGAAAAGGTTTTAGTTGTTTGCTCGTTTTAATGTTTTTAAGGCAGTTTAATCAGTGTGGTGATTTCAATATAAACAAACAGAAATTTATGGGAAGCTTAACTTTTTGGCAGATGAATTAATAAGCTTTGTTTTAGCCCACGTTCAACGTGTTGATCTTTGTTTTAGCCCACGTTCAACGTGTTGATCTTACGTTCAGCCCTCTCCAAAATACTTTTACTGTTCAGAAGCTCCCCAAGTATTTTATGATATATGAACTACAGAGACTGTTTTTGGATGTTGTTGATAAGTATGTATCCTAGAAAAATAAATGCTTCACTGTGTTCACTTTTAAAAAACCAAAAGGAGCTTAATCTTTCTCAATGTTTTATTTTTATCTTTTATTTGTGTTCCACTGTTCATGGAATAATATCTTTAGCAGAAGATACAGGAAATATTTCCTCTATGTTTTAAGACAAGTCAAAGACAAAAATATTTCCTTTAAGCATCCTTCCCTCATTCATCTGATCTGCTGACTCAAGATCTACAACAGAGTACCTGAAAGAAAAATAACGGACATCCAAATTTTGCAATATGCCTACTATGTAACTTTTGGGGAAAGTAGACCTGAAAATTGCATTTTCTTTGTTTGCCAAGCTTTGCTGAACAAAATACTTCATGATTAATTAATTGTAACATTGTTTGATTTATCATTACTATTATCATTACCAATTGCATTGAAAATGCAAAAGCCCATGACATGTTACTCTAGTGCAAAGGTATAAAATTCTGAATTTCAGAAGGTGATCTTGTCCACATAATTGTCTGGTTTAAATTGGAAACTGATTGTTAGTGAAGACATCCTGGGGTACAGCTCCTTAATCTAATTCCCTTTTACACCTAAACTCCTTTGCTTCAAAATTGAGTTGGCTTCCTCCAATCAACTTCAAAAGACCATCTGAAGAAAAGTAATATAATTTCCACATGGAGTCAGAATTGCCTACTATAGTTTAAAGGAGCTAATCCATCTCAACTATGTAATAATTTCAGTCAAAGATAATCAAACTCCAGCTTCAAACCTAGTGATTTCTGGTTCTTGAGAGGCATCTTATTTAGGATGATGTGAGGAATCTAGAAAATGTTTCTCAAGAATTTGGACTGGATTTTCTTTAATGTTGCCAACTTGCTATATGGCACGAATTGAATCCCATTCAATACCTGGATATGAGCCTTAGCAGTAAATAACAGTAGCAAGAATAAACTGTATGCCTTAATCAAAGTAGAAGGTTTGTAATACTGAGGCTGATCTGTGTGCCTTTGGATATGTTATGCTTATGGGCATTTCAGGTTCCTGTGGCTTGAAAAAACACCCTTAAGGTTTTTATGGTGTATCCCAGGGGTGAAATGCTCCCAGTTCGGACTGGATCGCCTGATCCAGTAGCAATGGAGGCGGGTGGTTCGGAGAACCGGTAGCAAAAATCCCTGCCCACCCCCTGCCCAGCTGAGCCATACAATCATTAGAGGCTTTTTTTTTTTACTTTTAAAAGCATTTTTTCTATAACATTTTCAGCTGAAAAAATGCTTTTAAAAGTAAAAAGAAAAGCCTCTGAAGATCACGTGCCTCAGCTGGGATTGTCAAAGGCTTTTAAAACCATTTTTTCTACAACCTCTTCGGCGAAGAGGTTGTAAAAAATGCTTTCAAAAGGCTCTGATGATCCCAGCTGAGTTGCCTGATCGGCAGAGGCTTTTTTTCTTTTAAATGCCTCTGACGATCAGGCAACTCAGCTTGGATCGTCGGAGCCTTTTGAAAGCATTTTTTACAAATGCTTTCAAATTTGAAAAAAATGGTTTTAAAAGTAAAAAAAAAATGGCCACACACACCCAGTCACATTACCCCCCACCCCACCAAGCCACACCCACAGAACCGGTAGTAACAAATTTTAGATTTCACCACTGGTGTATCCATCTCCCTGATAAGATGACTGGGATGGGAATTATAATAGAATCTTGGGAGGATTATCTATGGCTGTCAGCCTCAGCTTGCCTGCTTCAGCTGCCATAAGAAACGGGGGAGGGATTAGGTATGGAGCAAAGGGGGGGAAGGGAGCAGGAGGGGGTTTGTCTTTGTAGGAGGGGACTTCGTGGGAATCGAAACTATTTTCAAAAGGGGACGGCGGACCAACTGTCTCGACATTCCTGATGGATGACGCTGCCAGACGTGTTGCCACCTGACCTTTGGAAGACCTTTGGGTTGGCTGAGGATTTATAAACACGAGGGGGGGAAGAAGCTTAGTAGATGCATTTCGCGCGTTTTGCTCACTTCCAGCTTAACTGGGTTGTTAATCATTTCTTATTCAGTAAAAGTACCAAATTCTTCAAAATGCTTGACTTTGGGGTTTTCTTTCCTGGATACTGAAGGAAGCATACCTGACATTAAGCTGGAAGTCACAACCAGTCATCCCGGACCAAAACCGAGGGGACTGTAAATCCAAACATGTCAGATCGGGGGAGTGATGGAGAAGAGAAAATGGGGGCAGCCAGTTCAACTGCCTTCCAGTCGGAAAAGGAGATTGCAGAATGGTTAGAAAAACTTCGTCTGGAGACGGAGGAGGCCAGATGGTCAAAAGGTGTGGGGAGACTGCCGGACTGGGGAGAAGAACCCCGGGGAGTGACAATTTCCAGACCCCGGAAAAGAGAGGCAGTGTGGATGCAACAGCACAAGGAACGCCTCATGATAGATCAATATATGATATGATAGATATGTCCCAAATTCCTTTTGAACTGGATTCTGGCTTGCATGGAGGGTGCATTTTTATTTAACCAAACTAGCTCTTATTGTCTGGCCCATTCAAATGCAAAACTAAAAGACTGAAGATTTAGTGAATGAAAGCTTCTACCCACATGAAGGATATACCAGCTCTGGGAGGAATCCACAAAGCTGGTAAGTAGCTCTAAGCAGGGTTCATCCAACTTCCCTTTAATTCTTATTATAACATTAAATTGGGCCTAAGTAGTAGCCTGACTGAGAGCTTTTGCAGGTTCAGCAGAAATCACGAATGCCCAGTCCAATTCTCTAAACTGCAACAATTTATTATGTGGAGTTACATGCTTTTGTGGCAAAATATTTATTTATTTATTTATTTATTTATTTAATAAATGTATATGCCGCCCATCTCACCATCCAAAAAATGATATTCTTCCAGGTGTTGTTAGATTACAGTTCTGATCAGTATTAACCATACTGGCTAAGGATAATAAATTATGTGAATTTAGTCCAACAACACATGGAACAAAAGCTTTTTGATGTTTGCACTACTGAGTGTTCCTCAGAGTTACATGCAAGATAAATCCTTCAAGACATTTTAAAAATAAAAAAATAACTGAACTAACAATAATAGAGTTTGATAGTTTATAGTCTCCCCTATCCTCCTCCCCTTCTCATCTCCTAGAAAAAAAGTTATTGTGATATATATAAGGTATATTATACAGAGGTGTAGTCCTCCAAATAAAGACAAACCCTTAAAATGTCAATTACACAGGTAAAGATAGAACTGAAATCATGAAACACATTAGAACCAAGGCAATTATATCCATAGATAAGAGCCAATATTCCAGACAAAGTAGAAATGTTGTTCATATATGATGAAAAGTTTATCAGGCACCAAAATGACTTTTGACTTATTTTTGTATTGTGAGCTGAAGGATTGGTATTCTACAGTAGATATAATTAAAGTTATAAAGTCAGGAAGGCTGAAGATTTTTTAAAATTTGCTTTTGTTAAAGAAAAGTACATATTTACCTTTTTACCTTTTTACTTTTACCTTTACCATCTTATTACTAAGATTAAATGAAAGAATTGTGTACAATATTGTATCTAAAGATTTTTTTACTGAACATTTAAAAAAGATTCCTTTTATGAAATAGAATGGAGATGATTGAATAATGGTCCAAAAAGGATTACAGGTGGCATTGAACGAAGGGATTTTACATCCAGTTCTTAAAACTCTGGTCACATGATCCCCATTTACAAATCTCCCTGAAGACTTCCCATAAAGTCAATGGGGAAGCTGCAAGGAACGTTGCAAATCCACCTTCACCCCTGGTCTTTCTTCACTCACACATTCCTAGCCCCCTTCCTCCCTTCACTCACACAAATCCCACATTGTCTTTCTCCAGCCTTCCCGCACTCACACACACACACATGCACTCCAAAACCTTTCTTCTCCAGCCTCCATGCATTTGCACACATTCCACACCCTCTTTTCCAGGTTTTCTGAAATCACACTGCACTGTAACCCCCAGTCCCCCAATTCACTCATGATTGCCCAGGACCTCCCAGGGTTCCCCCACCCTCCTATGACACCGCCTTGCTGGGACTCCTTCCACTTCCCACTTAAGAACTTGCACATCACATCTTGGATTGTGATAACAACCAGGAGTGCCTGAATTACCACTGCTAAGCGATGGGCTCATGTGATATCATGCTTTACAATTACATTGCTTAGTGATAGCAATCTTGATCACAACTGCAAGCATAATTTGAGAAGTACTTATAAGTAGTTTTAACTCTCAAACACCAAGTAAGACAACAGTTATTCCTTCATAGTAGTAGTACTAGCAGCAGCATAAAGTAGCATTCAGTGTAGACACACCCCTTTACCTTCCTTGGCCTAGTGTTAATTTTGTTTTGTTTTTTCAATTCAATCAAGGTTTTTCAGAAGTGGATTGCCATTGCCTCCTTCCTAGGGCTGAGAGGAAGTGACTGGCCGAAGGTCATCAAGTTGGCTGAGTGCCCAAGGCAGGACTACAACTCATGGTCTCCTGGTTTCTAACCTTGTCTCTTAAAGTCTGGCTGATCTCTGACTCTCAATATGTTACAA